AAATTCGCGAGAGCTTGTATTAAAAAAAAACTCATCGACATAAATTTATATGTTATATAAATCCAATAATTGAAAAGTTTTGTTGGCAGGTGCGTCTGGGAGCGTGAGTTGTAGTTTTTTTTTTTGTTCACACGAGCACAAAATCGAGGCCATATTCAATTGAAAGTAAGAATAAATAAGTCACTCCACTCTGCAACCAACCCTGTTTGGCAAACTGGCTCACATGTATTTATTTCCGCGTGGATCGAGTGGAAAAAAGTGGTTTGCAGGTGAGGGCTGCGTGAATGTTAGACACCGCTCGCCAACCAACAACCACCGCAATCGCCTCTTATCCGCTAAATGCAGGAGAAGAATCATCATAGTACATCAATCACAATGAAGCAGAGAGGGATTTCGCATTTTGCTCGTTTTCCGAAGGAAGGTATATTATGAATCGAATTGGGTGCACTACGGCTAGGGCTTAGTGATGATGATTTACGGGCCAAAGGCAAATATTTTCAAAAGCAGCACTACGCAACGGCCTGTTTTCTTATATAATTTTGACTTTTCTCTTTTGAATTTTATATCAAGAATGGAACTTTTTTGTATAATTATTTTATATCTTCAACATTTTCAAAGACAAGTGAGTAAAAATTATTTTTACCAGAATTGTTGGAGCTTCAAGGACAAACTAAGAAAAATTCTATCGTTAGAATTTTCCATACAAATATTATATCTAGGTTTATTCCAGCACGTTAAAAACAAGTTTTATGAAGAGAAAAGTCAAAATTAAAATAAAAACTTATATTATATGATTCAAAAAGTTAAACAAACAAATAAATGTTCGGTTTTGTGGCTGTTGTGTGCGTCAATGTATTTTTGTGTGTGTGCAGGTAGGTCATATAAAATTAAAGTGGAACTCTAAGCGTTTTGAAAATAAATTCCAAGACCAATTCCTCTCTTATTTGAATAGTATCAGTCTAGGGGGAAGTCCTGCCGTCGTGAGATGAAAGCAAAAAATATTTTGATATAATATATCGGTGGCTTGGGGAACGTGTTTGATGTTGGTGCAGCGCAGACGTCTGCTTTTTTACTTCTCGCCTTCTCCAGATTTTACGAAGATCTCTTCGGCCTGTTTGCTTCTTCTTTCAGTTTTGATAGCGATAGGGTGGACAAATATTGGACTGTTTATTTTCGCTTCTATATACACCAAACCCAAATAGATTATCCGCACAGATGAAAAAAAAATGAAGGGGTGTATTTCGAGAGCAGACTGCGGTTTAATCTCCCCCATTTTTTTTTGTCGTTCAATCATATTATCAAAATCAATTACCACCCTGTTGAGAAGGGAAACTTATTTGAAAAATGAGTTTATGAACTAGAAAAGTGGCAGCGGCATCTGTTTTTATTTTTTTCCATGCGAAACGATTAATAATATTCTGCAGGTCGATACGGTAGTAAAATCCGTCAGCTGACTGCAGTGTTTACAATTATTTTAATTTTTTTTCTCCATATAATTGGCGTCATTAAAAATTCAAAGGGTGACTTTTTGCAATGTTTATCGGCGAATCAGTTTGTACGCAGTCTGTTGTCATGTGTGAGTTGGCAGATGCAGTCCGATTTCCTCTTTTTCTGGCCGCCATTATATCAATTCCATATACGCGTTATGGCATAGCGTGTCGTTTAATGATAAATTGAGCTGCTTTTTTTCAGGTCGTGGAACTGACAATATGGCACACTCTCGAAATCAGGGTGAATGATCTGGCCGAATTGAAAGCGTTGGCCGCGAGGGTCGCAATCACCTGCTTGATCATTTTATAAATATATAAAACGCATTATCTGTTTGTGTTCAAGTCCATAAATTATTAACGTTTTATGACCGACCTCGAAGCAGCAGCCAGTCCCGACTGACGAGTTCCGATTTAGGGGAAGTGGTTTGGAAAATTACAAAAGATTCAAAATTAATAAAAAAAAAAAAAAAAACTGGTCAAATGATTTTTTTCCTTTAAAACTGCTCTAAAAAGTCAGATCTGTCCGGCAAAACAAAATTAATTTGATTTAGATAAGTTTTCCGTGCATCACGAATTTGTGTTTGCTTTTTTGAAATTAATTTTTAGTTGGTGATAAATCAAAGTGCCAAAATTGTCAGCCCGATTCGCGCGCGCGTCCACTCGCTGAAAAATTAGATAGCGACATGTCGTTCCGCGCAGTTTGAGCCGCAAAATGAAAAAAAGTGCACACCGTGAATAAAAAATAAATCCTCGCACGTAGTTATAAAAAGGGCATGAGTGCCGGGGTGCAATGAACGGCGGCCAAACGGACGAGTGGCCGCACGGGCCTTCCGCTCTTTTTCCCGCATAGATAAATATGCATGTAACATGACATGTGTGCATGGGCTCGCTTACGCAGGCAAGCGTGTAAACATATGGTGCACCCCAAGCTGCAGGGGGATACATTCGTTGTGTGTATGGTAATAGCAATAATGAGCGCGACAAAAAAGAAAGAAACAAAGCGGGGCGGCCATTTCGAAAAAGGAAAGTGGCACTATCGAGTATGAGAGAGAGAGAAAGATTTTCGGACGCCCCTGTTGATGGTACACGGTGGAAGTGTAATATTCTGGCGCGACTAATGAAATAATGAAACGCAGGCCCCCTTCTTTTTTGACACTGCGCGTCTTTTGTATACCTCGGGTGTCACAACAGTGGATTCTCGCTACAGAATCGTCCGTCCTTGTCGTTTTATTTGGTTTTTTGTTTCGCGGGCACAAAGAGATTGCGCTCAGAAGTGGCCTCCTATATCTTGTCCCTTTGTGCTACGGGTGAAGAAGGGTGAAAAGTGACGTGCATAGGTAATTGGTTTGAAGAAAGTATGAAGTCCGGATGACAAGTTTTGTAAAAATTTTTAGTAGGATTATTACTTCTATAGGTTGACAAAAATTAATTTAATCCCGCGGATTATGGATAGATTTGAAAAATAATCTTTTCAGGAAACGCTCTTGACCCTTAAATTAAAAATAATTAATTCAACCCAATCCTATTATAATTAATTGTAGACAGCAACTCCAAAAATCTAAAAGCAAATAAATAAAAATATTAACAAATTTAAAATTTCCGTTTATTATTGGAGTTTATTTATAAAAAGACATTTTATATTTTTAATTAATTTAAAAACATTTTCTTTTAGCTTAGTTTCTATTTAAAACTATAGTCGGAAAACAATGTGAAATTTAATACCCTGCGGTGGGGAGTGCGAACGGTAAGGTGTCGTTGCCTTTTTGTGGCTTCACCTACACATTTTTTATATATAATTTTAAATTCGCCTATTTAAACAACGTAACACGGTTAGCAGAAATGCCTCTCCTAATTTGCAAAGCAACACTGTTGCAATCCGGCAAAAAATAGCAAATTTTGCATAAATTTCATACAGTGGCAAAGGAAGTGGTGAATTATGTACAGATTAAATGACGCAAATGGAAATTCGAAACTTTAGTGAATCATTTAGAAATGTGCCTGATTAGCAAAAAGTCGCGTGTGTGTCATTTCAAAAAGAACTTTCATCATTAACGTCTTTTTTCGTCTGCTCAGCCGTCCGAATCACCGCTGGAGCGCGCGTGTCTTTCTCTCTCTCTAAATGCAAATTGAACGCGCTAGATTCTTTTTCCGTTGTCTAATTTCGGCTAGTAACGCAGCTAGCACATGACGGCGCGCGGGCGAGAGTGTGCTTTTTTCACATCCTACAACTGGGTAATATGACACTGTATTAGCTCATGTCCCTCGGTCGGAAACCGCAGCAGAGACTCGTCCCCGACCGTCTGCCCTCTCGCGGAATGAAATTAATTTTTAAGCGCATAATCAGCACCGCGTGGTCGTAATACGGATTTGGTCGGCGTTGGATTGTAAATTGGCAGTAGAGAGGCGCAAAGACTTTAAGTTTTTTTAACAAAAAATTCTTCATATGACATTAGTAAAAATTAAATTGTAATGTTTTGAGGCTTTGAATTCTTAGCAAACTAAAACTATTGTTTAGTTCACAAAATTGTGAAAATGTTTCGTAGAATGAGATGAGAAAATTCAGAAACATTCTGGTTAAAGTCTTAAATTATCATACATGATTTAAATTTACAGAAACGATCGTTGCAAACGGTGTCTTGTCACGGAAAGAACTAAATTTAAGTTGCTAAAGCCTCACAATATTAGTGTCAAGGAACTGTGATGAGTATTTGAAGAAAAATATTAATATAAAACGAATAAAAAGTTATGAAAATATTATTTATTTAAATAAAAATAAGTGTGCGCCTCTCTTCAACCGCAAAAGACACATCCGAGCCCAATACACGCATACGGCTGTGCACACACATGTAATTAAAACATAAATTTATGCACCAACCAATCCCCAGCTGTTTTCCTGTGTGTGCCTCCATGCATTTTTTTGCTTTGTCCAAACGTCTAAACCAACATCTGCCTCCACATGCAATCCAGCCGCGCATCAAACTTAATCTGTCCGCCATTAATTTCCACTCCCCTTGTATTTTCTTTTAATATTTAATCAGAGGCCAAATTACCGACGACACGTCTCTCTCCGATAACAAGCAAGGGAAAGGTGTGAGTTGTGATGTATTTGTGTGTGTACGTGCGTGGGCAAATGTATGTTTGGAATAATATTTAACAGCTCATCATCATAAAGCACCGCGCGCGCACCATCATTAAGTCAGTTTAGCCAAAACAAACAGCCCATCCGAGGACAGACGGCGTTTGTTATTTCTGCGCAGCCAGGATAAAACTATACTCGCCGCCGCGTGTCCGAAATCCGTCCTGCTCTGCGTGTGCTACTGAATGACTACTAAGAAGGACCTGCTTAGAGTGGAAAGCTGCTTAGAATCAGAGAGGTCGGAAACCGAATCTGGTGGGTTGTTGGGACAATATGAATGAAAATGGACATTAACTGTGTGAGAACCAAAGGAATTATGCAGTAGATTTTATCTATCAGTGTGTGAAATTTATGAAAGAGGTGGTGTTGCTTACCCGAACTGTCCTGGAAGTACCGCTTGGTATCCTGCCCTCAGTCCAGCAAAGGAGAATCCTGAAACAAAAACAAGCAGGGATTTTAATAAAATCTGCGATGGATATTCATAGTATGGTCGTTACTTTCAATTTGAAAGGAAATATAATATGATAAAATGTTGGAGAGCATAAAGGATAAAATATGAATCTTAACTGTGATAAAATTCAAAATAATATGCTGCAGTATCAAAAGTAAGATTTTCTCACACAACTTAAATATTAATAACACTATTTTAAAATTAAAAAAGGGATATATTTTTCTGATTTAAACGTTATTGATTTATTTTTCAATTTAATTTAAATGTTCAAATTTCACTTCCTTATGTGATTTTCTTCATTTTATATTGGTTCATATTTTAAATGAGGCTTCTTAGTATGCAATAGTAAGTTAAATGATGTAATTTTTATAACTTGGCTCATGTAAAGTAATGAAATTCAATTCTGAAAAGAGACTTGTACATCACATTTAACAAATGAGGCCAAATTTAAATAATTATACAAAATTAAAGCATTAGAAAATGGAAATTAGAGAAGTGAAAAATAAAACAAATATTAAAATATAAGAAGGATTTTCATAAACTGAAGAAACAAGAATATTATGAAATCGTTAAAAATAACATTTGGTAGTCATAAATCATAAAAAAATTTAGCGTTTGGTGGTTTTAAAAATAAAATTAATTTAATAATACATAACTATGAATAGGCAGATAAGAATTTGTGATGATTGGAAGATCAAAGTTTGAAATGGCAAAACTGACAACGAATATTTAATTTTTAACCAAGTTCTTTAATAAATTATCTTTTTTCTTCTTCCAAGAATTGTTAATAAATATTCCATCTTCTTTTAAAAACTTGAAATTCCTGCGGCTCTACTATAAATCATGCACTTATCGCGGCTGCCGCTTGTTTCGTGTTTTACTAAATTAATCATCACGCGGTGCCATACTGAAGCGCTCACGGCGGCTCAAGAGTCGATAAACTTTTCAAGCTCATTCATTCTTGTGCATGTTTTTCGTCTGGAGTGAGAGGCGGTCCACCTGCCCTGTAAGCATGTGGTTGTCATGCAGAGCGAGCGTCTCTCCTTATATGTCACCGACCGCGATCTGGCGGTGCTCCAATATGGCGACTAATGTTGCCCATCAACCCTGTGGGAGGAGGTGCTGCAGTTGGCGCTACTTAATTTAATGCTGCCACATTAAACAACGCTGCAGACCGACGGTCCCTCACGTTCGCCACCCTCCTAATCAAGAAATAGAGCATAAAAATAAACCTGCCTAAAATAGCAGGTTTAAGGGCGTTGGTTTTTTTTCTTCTTTTAATTGCTCGCACCTCTCCACAGCAGCTTTGATATTTCCTAATCAGCCGGTTCGTAAAAAGAGCTAAATCGAGAGATCGAGCGGGATTTTAATTTGCCGCTGAGCTGCTTTTTAATTTCGGTGCGGCCGGTGAAAAACACACGCCGGCATATTTGCAATTCGCGAGGGATTACCGCTGCCGGCTTTTTGTGTTAATTGAAATCTAGGCCGGTGTCGCTTATATGGACTTTGGATTAGTCTGTCTGCGACTGTTAAATTCAAACGGCAAATAGTGGCGATCAGAATCAAAGAGAAAAAATCCCTAGTGATGCTGGTTTGGATTAACTGCGCTTATTTTATTTACGTCCTCCCAGTCCCCAAACGAAAATAGAGGGAAAATGTTAAATTGGATAAAAAAATAAAAGGTTATTTTATTTTAAATTCATAAAAGAGCTTGTGCGCTATTTTCTCTCTTCATTGCTGCTGCGTTCAAATTCAGGAGTCATTTATTTTCAATATTGATAATGATTTTTATTAATTTATTTTTTAAAGCATCCAAGCTAAAAGTAGTTCTCTTAACTCACTTAAAATTTTTAATTTGAAGATTTCCTGAATATGAAATGAGTCTGGATATAGATTAAACTACTGAAATTTAATCGTGTGTATAAGCATTGAAGAGCGATTAACATACTAATTTCCGGCTTCATTGGCTATGTAATTTCAGCTTAACTTCTTTGCTCACTTAATTGTAAAGAATTTTAACATACGAATTCCAGAGTAAAATACCCCCTTGAGAATTTTTTACTCTCAACATTTAAACTCTTTAGGACCGGTAGCGACGCCAATCAGACGGAAACGTGCCTTGTAATCAGTCCGCTGGAGATAAGGGGAAGGAAACGAGATTAACTTGTGACTTATTAATTAGCCCGTGCGCACCGGACACCGGTGGAGGACACGTAAGTATGAGACTGACGTGGTCATCGGAAGAGCGTCCACGTCTCTCGGAAGAACACGTGCGCGTTGTGAAATATGCAGGCGGCCAAATAATTGTCTCATTTTGTTTGTTTTCCTCTCAAGGTCTGCGATAAGGGGTTATATTTTCTCCTTGTCGCGTTTGTGTGAAAAACCCCTGTTGGCTTTTTATCAAAAGAGGAAAATTCGAATTTCAAGGTTGGCTGGCTGCCCCCTTGGTTTGGTGGCCGTTGATGGTCATTATTTTATTTATCAGCTCGGCAAATTGGGTGCGTGTTGGTGTCATATTTTTTAAGGCTTTTCCACGCCAACCAACTTCCGCTGGCGACGTGGACTGCTTGCTGGACAATCACCCCGGCCAGCAAGCACGCTTTTTGAACAAAAAATGTGCAGAAAAACGAGTTTTTCGAAGCGCGGTTCCTCCCATTTTTGCCACTGCGAGAGTGAAAAACGAGTATAGTAGGTTAGGAGCTCGTTTTTATTTATGTGCTCGGTGAAATATGTATATTTGAATCTATATTTAGTGCGGGTCGTGAAGAGGCCGCGAAAAGAAATGATTTGTTGGAGGCTTAAATCGAGAGCCGTGATTCACAAGTGGCGACCGCGAGAGAGCAGCCGCGCGACGAGCGTCTCTTCTCCAGCAACGCCTGAAGACGAGCCGATTAGGCCATCCGCCAAACATCTTGGCGCAGCTCTTTGCCTATACTTGATTTCTTTTCATTTGCCTCTCTGCGCTAATCAACGTAATGAAGTGAAAGGAGACGAAATGAATTATTCAAATGACAGATAAATGGAAAATAATGTACAAAAACAGAATGACAATAAATTAAATTTAAATAAATTTTCTGTTTCCAGGAAAATAAAATATTTTGAAGGTTTTTTCAAAAAACATATTGGAATCATAGCAGAGAATTTGCCCTACGTGACCATGTCGAAAATCCTAGACAAAAAAGTAATTTAATTGACAAAAATGATTAAAAAAACTAAGAAAAATCATTAATATTTCGTGTAAGTTTAAAATTTATAAAAAGAATGCACTTTTTTTACTTAATTATTTTGACAGGACCAGCTTGTAAATATGTTTATTCTTCAATTAAAAATGAGTAAAAATATTTTTAATTTTGATAAAAAAAAAGGCTCTTACAATAATCCTCTGATACCAAAGCTGAATTAAGTAGTTTTTTTTTTAAATTTCAAAAAAGAAATTTATTTTAATTATAATAAAAAAATAAGATCCAAAAATTTGTCAAAATAATAATTTGACTCGACAGTTTTCTTCAAATCAAGTAAATTTTTATGTAGGATAAACCGCAAAATCCTGCAACAAGTTTCTCCAGACCGCTTACGTTTTTGAAAAGCGTGGCAATTTTGTCAAATATTATCCATCAAAGCGGACAGCCTCGTTATAAGAATTCATTAGCATTTTCATTTCAAGCACCACGTCTCAAAAGAGTAAATAATCCATCAAATTCTATGTATCATGTCGGAGCAAATTACACACACGGGGGTGCTGGAAATTTATGCGCGTGTGGAATGTGCGCGAGAGGAACGTGCTCGCATTAAAGGATAATTAGATCGGCCGTCAAGATTGGTCACGTCACGGAAACGGCGAGGAAATCCACCTAAAATGGCCGATTTCCGCTAATGCGTGCATCACAAAAACATACGCTAGGAAAAAACAAGCATGCGGGGGCAGAGAATGAGAATCCCTTAAAAATTGGAAGGAAGTTGAGAGTGTGCCGGCCGCTTTTGCATCCAGTTTTTTCGCTGCTGGAAGTGGAGTCGTCACGCTAGTGTTCATTTTAATGTAAGGGCACAAGCGTCCTGTGGCCAACAGCAGCTAGCACCCTTTATAATAACAATGCTCATTCATTCCTTCCGTGCATGATGTCCCACGCGCAGTGGCCTTTTCTATTCTTGAATTCGCCATAATGCCATTAATAGAATGGAAAAATCTCTCATAATATTCATATAAGGAGTTTTGGATATTTACTATTTTCATGTTGAAATAATTTTGCCCGCATGAGTTTGTTGCTTTGAATAATGCAGAAAGAGAGGAACTATATAAAATTAAAATTAAATCTGCAAAAATTTATAACAGTATGTATTCCAATGATTACCGAAAATTGTCTTCTTTGTATTAAATGTGATTTTTTTTTTCATTTTCAAGTTGGATTTTAGAATTGCAAGTTAAATTTTATGTATGTTCAACTGGATGCAATGGGCACAGACATCGGAAAAATTAAAGACAACAAATTAAGCCTTTAGTCGAGTATTAAAAATTATTATTTTTTAATTGTTTGTTTAGAAATGGATGTTGTACTGCTAAAAATGTAATTGTCGGCCAAACAATTTGCTTTTCATCAGAATTTCATAAGCGTCGAGGGAAAGAGTGGCGTGCCAAACAATAGTGCATCCATCAGTGGCCGGTTTTTGCGTAGTGTGTTTTGAGTGACGCCAGCGGCGGCAGCGCAGAGTTGTATTTGTACATTCGGGAACATCACACACACACAGAGCGGCGCACAAAAGTAGTATTATTTATTAGTCGGCGCGTCGTCGGCCTACATCACGACGTGGAAAAAGAAGAGGAGCAACCGAGCGAAATCGGCGCGCGCAGACCGAAATAGCTGCACGCTGCAATCACATAGAGTGTCCGTCCGTCCGATGGACAAAGATGTCGACGCGTTTGTTCATCCTCTCTGACGAAACTCCGAATCCGGCGTATAATCTGATAATGAGCCGCTTGACGTTTGGTGCGACGGCCTCGGAATAATTTACTCCGAGGAGGACCGCGCTGCTCTACTTTTTATTCAAAATAAAACGGAACGGTCGGTGTCACCTGTCAATCCCGGCCGAAATCCCGCGCCGTTTAATCCCTCCATTGTATAGTGAGCAGGGAGGCATATTTGTGTGTTTTCGTTCAAGCACTTCTGCTGGCACCTTTCTCCGGCCAGAGATGGAGGCTTTTGTGGCCTATTTGTATGTTATTGTTGAATATTTTGGTTCATATCTTTTGTCAGTCGGAGGTTACAGAACTTTTGATCAAAGCCCATAATGGAAGAATAAGTGATTTGACGGATTTCCCAGCTGCTGTTCTTGGCCTGTCAAAATTGTTTTATTTTTGCTGAAGAAGCCTTCGTTTAATAATAATAAAAAAATAATAAAACACTATAGGTATTTTTCAGTTAAAAAAAATATAGTAATAGTGTTTGAAAGTTACAGGAATTAGATTTTCAAATAATGTTTTTCTAGTCATTAAATTAAAGTGAATGTAATTTTATTTTTGTTTTTTACTAAATTTGTAGCTCTGACTTTTCCTCACATGATTATCAAAACTGATCTTCCAGGTGTTGAGAGCAGTTCCGTACTCAATTGGTGACAAAATTGTTGAAAACTTCCTTTCAATATAAAGGAAAGGCGAGAAGTGCATTTCCTCAATAAAAACGAACGACCTGACAATGAACGCATCCACGACCGCTCCTCAGCTTAATTATGATTTAGCAGCCGCGGCAAAAATGTTTTCTTTGAAGGCCTCTCTATTTTCCCTTGGCGGGATGCATTTCTTTTTGGGGAAGCATTAATGGCGCGTATATATCTACGAACACACGGCGGCGGCGACGGAGATATAAAAATACGGCGTGTGTGTGTTTAAGCAAAAGGAGATTTACCACAGAAAACCTTGGAACAGCTGCGATCCAGCGCCAGGGGTTATATACGCTAGCACAGCCAACTCACTCTAATTTGGTTTATTCTGGGATCGACTGACTCTGCGCTTGCACGTATGTACTACCCACAGCGTGCATCCCGTGTACATACATTTGTACACACACACACTTGGACCATCATTACAATACACGGATTATTTGTCTAGTAGACTCGATCTCGCGCGTGCCTCCGGCGAGAAGAAGCTCATCATCTCTCGATTTGGACCAACGCATATCGACACGAGACGCGAGGCACTAAATCTCCTCACAAGAGAGTTAACTCCCAGCGCAAGCAAATTTGCAAATTCTCTACGCTTACGTGACTCAAGCTGAATAAAAATAAATTGATTAAAATTTGCAATTTAAAGTAAACCAGAAAAATATTCACTAAGGAAACACAATTCGCATAAAATGTTACAAAACCGAAAGTTTGAAACCTAAAGAAATAACGTTGCAACTTTAACATTTTTTTACATAAAATATTGCGTTGTATGTCGGAAAAATAAAAATTATAGGGCATTCTGCTGTTAACGACCCAATCAAGCAAGCGAATATTTAAAACGCGATGGGTTTCAATTAAGAATTACTTTCCAACTTTTATTTGTTATTAAATTATAACTTGAGATTTAATTTTTATATTTTATGCTGCACGCGTTTTTATTACAAAGTAAATCTGTGTAATTCCTTAACTACTGCTCCTTTATTTTAGAAATCACTACATATGAGATTGATTTTCAGCAAACCTTTTACGTCAAAAAAAACTAAACCAGTCAACACAAAATTAAATGTAATAGAAAGATTTTTTAAATCACTTTCCTTATCACTAATTATTGATATCAAACTTTTGATTGATATTCGAATAAGATTTATGTAGAAATAAGGCGGAGGCTAGAAATGTTAACTTTTATTTATCATTAAAAATTTCAACGGAATAATTTTTCTCATCAAATTCCACCTCCACTGATTTCCCTGCAAAAATCAAATCAAACCAGTCGAGCAGCATACAAAGTTTCCGGTCTCTTGTATTCAATACACACACACGACCAACCCCAGTCTAATTTTCATTTCCATAACCCCCGCCAGCACTGAATTTCGAATTTTGTTTCGCGAAAGGATTAAAAGTCCCCACGTCCCGAGTCAGAGACCGACGGCAAAAATTGGCATCCCTCTCTTTATATGCCTGATAATTGCTGCAGGGGGTGCGAATTCACCCCTACGGTAGTCTGTCTCGATTATGATAGCAAAATTGGATTAGACTTTAGATAAACAGCGTGGAGGAAGCGCGGTTTATACATAATATTCTCTCGCCTTGGCCGCGGCATTTTCCGATATACAAAATATTACATGCACGGGGCGCGGATATTTGCAGCTGTCGGCTCTGCTTTTTCGTCAACCAGCGAGTAGTCTCTCAGTGAAATGCACTTATTAGAGCTCTATATACGCACACGGAGCACTTTGTCAGTTGGTGGGTGACTTCCAGCGTTACACACGGCTAGGGGAAAACGCCACAATAGAATTATCAGAGCCGTCTAAATATGTGGTCTTAATATTGTAAACAATTAATTTAATTTTTTATTTTAAACACTTTTTAATGTTTTGCAATTTTTAAATTATCATTGTTTATAAATTTAATTTAATTTTTTTTTTATTTCTAGAGTAAAAAGAATACCATGCCAAAAAAATCATAGAGTTAATTATCTAAATAAATTATAATGAATAAATAATAAATTACAAATACAGTTGAGCTCACAGGTAATTAAAATAAAATTATGAAAATGAGTTCGACAGTCATGATAATTTTATTTTAAATTAATTAAGTTCAATAAATTTATTTCCAAGCAAATGAATGAGTTAAATTGGGCTTTCAGCAATCAAAAATTACATTTAAAAAATCAAAAAATTATAGTAAAAAATTATTTGAACCTGAAATGACAACTGCAATACTATTTTGTGTATGTAATAATAAAAACAAACAACTAAGCCACCTATTTAGACGGCCCTGGCGGGGTCTGTACTACTCATACTGTGCACAGGGACCCCTCTGAAAACGAAACTGGAGGGACAGAGCGGCGGGAAAAATGGTATGGCGAGTGCTACGGGCCTGATTATATCTGGCCTGCTCGGTGCATGCATATGTATATCGATCTCGGTGGAATACAGGACTCTACCTTGTGTTCTTTCGAAACACTCGCTCGGCCGCTCGTAATCAATTGTTGCTCCTCGCTCGTATGTTCGATTCGAATCCATCAGACCTTTGTTCCACCGATTATTCGCTCGAGAGACCACTGTGGCGGCAAACCCGCGTTTTGATGCTCATCCTATATACCTTTTTGTAAAGTCTCTCATTATTGTATTGGCCTAATCAAAAAGGGATTAAGATAAGTCTTTCCGATTCACTCGTTTAATTAGGGAAAGAGTTCTCCGGCCGGGGGTGGAATATTCAATTTTCGAGAGCATCTTTTTTGCCTCGCATTGTTTGCGCTTGATGATTTTATCTTAAGCGACGAAATTAATCACCCGGTGCGAGTGAGTGGGTCATTGTTGATCGATGGCTGTTGTTTGCACTCGGGACAAGGGCTGGGGCTTTGAATTTCATTATTCAAAGTCCGCCAAAGTTGAGCAGGAAGGGTTTAAATTAAAGATTAAGAATGTGAAGAGAAATTGTTCTTCATAGCAGTGACTCACGCGGCTAAAAGTAAGGGATATGAATACAACTTACAATTAGCCTAAATTGCAAATAAAAATTCAAAAGGGGCAAATAATTAAAGTAAATATTAAACTGAATTTTGTTTTTATATTTAAAACAAATTCTATTTCTTTTTTGTATAGAAGAATATTAAGATATAAAATTAAAACATTTAAAAAATATTTTAAAAAACGTTTTAAATTGGCTTTTTTCCTTCCTTTAGACAGTGAAGATATAAATATATAATAAAATAATTTTCTAAGTTTCATTGGCTTATTATGAGATTATTAAGAAACAAAAGTCTCGCTGAGTCTCGCATTAACTCTAACGATTAACCTTCAAAGATGTGATAAAGTTATGGGTTAAAAAAGGCATAAATAAATCAAACCACCAAAATCGCAAAACAAAAAAATGCTGCTTTGGCACATCGTTAAAAAATTAATGAGGGTGTCCCTGCCAGTGATAAGAGCTCAAAATCCGCAGCTCATCGGCCGATCCAAAAAATGTGCTCCGATCGGCTTTTGAAAAATTCGCGATAATTATAAACGAGCTCGGAATCATTTGGGGCGATCTGCACGTCGAAAATTCATTTCGCTTTGAGTGTGTGTTGCGACGAGGGAATCATTATGATGGAAATATTTGCTCGATGGCACGGGAAATGCGGGCATGCAGCGACACAAGCCATCGCGCGCGGGCAGAGAGGATGTTGAAAAATATATAATAACGCGCACGGCCGGCATCCTGCCCTCTCTTTCTCACCATTCATATGGAAAAAAGCTTCGGGGCCGCCGACGACGCAGCCTTTCCATTTGTGACGATTGGGAAAAAAAGCATTCGCCTACAGAGGCTAATTTTGCAAAGAGTGCCGCCTCGAGGCGAGAATTGATTTAACTTTTTTGTAGAGAGAAAAGTTTGAAAAAATCCAAGTGGCCTACCTGGCGGGTCTCCGGGAGTGACGTTGCCTCTGGGTTTGGCGCCCAAAATGGCCAGGTTGACGTTCGCCTTGCGTCCGTCGATGATGGGGTTGGGGTCCTTGCAGGCTCGCTCAGCGGCACTTCGGTCACCCATGATTACCTGTGGACAAAAAAGAAAAAAATTAAAAATCTTTTAATCTAATTGTATATCAAACCAGTAAATATGTAATGCAAAAAAAAATATTAAAAAAATTAATAAATGCTGAAAAATTGCTCAATACTATGTGTGGATTTTTTATTCTTCATTCAGAAAAATGCATGTATTTTTATTGATTTAAAAATTAAAAATAGTGAATTTAAATGGGTTTAATTAACTCTAAAATGCTCTAAAATTATTTTTCTGTATGATGACCGTTTTTTTACAATGTGTTATCTGAACAAAATAATCAAATATCAATTAAAAATGGTAAAATTCATTTTTTTTTTTTTTTTTTAAATTCCCTGCATGCTATGTATAGTTGAAATATTTTTGCTGGTGAAATTAGAGTGTTTTGGAGAAAATATTGGGGAAAACTTTTGATATTGAAAGCACATATAAAATAAGTTAGGGCTCATTTGTTCTATTTACCCTCATATAAGTATTTTAATTAAATACATGTTAGATCTGCGAAAAATGATAAAATGGATTTTAAAATTAAAGTGTAAAGGAGCCTAATTAAAAATAATTCCTGCCCGTAATTTTTTTACAGCAAATAATATTTTTTCTTGGAATCAATTTCTACCTATATGTATTATATTATGCGGAAACAAATTATTTGATATTTTTCTGTTTACACATGGTGCGCTCCTCTCAGCATATTTAACAGCAAATTTCCAAGTATTGAGTGTAAAAGAGTGGCTCCACTTGCTGATAACGAGCGTTTGGAGCGAAAGGTCGCCCGAGTCACAGTGTTATCGGGCTGCTCAAGACGCGCAAAAAGAAGCACTCTCCATCCTGAGAGAGCGTGTAGTACAAATGTCAAGAGCCCAGCGCCTACACGCCACGCCGCCGCTCCCTTGATGAAACAATAATCGCGCACGGAAGAGCGAGAGATGCATAATTTAGAGCCTCTGCGTTTATGGGATATTCATTTCTCGACCTGCATATAAATAGCGTGCATGCTCGAATTATCACGCCGCCGTTTAATTGGCTCTTGAAAAGCCACTTTGGCTTATTAATTAGCAGAGTTCTGCATGAGTCTAGGCACTTAGGAAAGTTTTGTTGTGCAGCGTAATGTCAGTAATTTGCTTCAAAATTGGATAACTTTTGCCAACAATGAATTACTAAATTTTAGGTTACATACATTTATTTACAAATGTCCAACAATTTCAAGATTGCAAATGTTAATTTACTTATTGATTATTTTTTAATGTGTAAACTATTTTTAAAATTTATTAGATAATATCCCAAGCAAAGGCAAGAAAAAAATTATAATTATGAAAGGAAGACACAAAAATTTAATTTTATAGAAAATAAAACATTGCTACGATGAAAGTGACACAATAATGTTGACCAAAAATCAATTTTTTTGTTGAAAAAAAAATATGTTGATTGACTTGGCGACGGAATCTTATTGTTAAGAGTTTTTAATTTTTATTTTCTACAATCATTTTCCAAAAAAAGTGAAAAAGATAGAAAAAATTAAGTTAATTGCAATGCAGTATTCAATTTGATCATATTGCAGATTCGTGACCCCTCAGACAGAGAAACATTGCATTTCGAGTGTTACTGAATTTGTCGTTTTGTGTGTTCATTTCAGGGGAAACCGCGGTGACAATTTTTTGATTGCTGTATGTACGGCAGTCAGTCACTTCTGAGCACAGTAGCTCGACTCAGGTTACAATTCGCGTCCTCTCTCTCTCTCTCTCGCTCATCAAACCGCACACATGCACACACGCACTCCACAAACTGAGCGCGCCATAGAGGAGTGCAGACGCACACAAAAACAGCCCCTGGCAGGAACAAAGGCAGCCCATATTACACCGAGCTGCCGCTTTTGTAATGATAATGATGACGTAATATTCCGTGACAAAGGGACGAAAATCAATTGAAAATTAAAAATTTAAAAGCGGCGCAGCGCCTGCCCGCCTGCCACACAGCCCCGAGTGAAATAGGTCTTTCGCGCAGCACAAAACGCTATCAAATTGTATACACTCGGCAGAATACGCGTACGGTCTATCCCATAATGTACTTGTGCATATTACATATATGTGGAAGAGTGTTTGAGGAGGTCAAACAAATGAGAGAGAGAGAAAGAGAAGAGAGCGAGGGCTAGAGAGACTCTTACTTGGTTTGCTGAGCTGTTTGCTCAATGATAAAAGGCGAATGAAAAAATCCTCAGCACTCCTTTAATAAGACCAAGCTGTAAAGCCAAAACGTCAAAGGAAATTCTGATAAAAGAAAAGATAAAAAAAGCCTAAATTTAATTTCCGTAAAAAATATTAAAATCCAATTTCACTTAATTCATTAATTTTTGAGAAGATAATTAACTGGTTTTCGGATTAATTTTTGATGCAAAATTTGTAGATCACCAACATAAATTTATAAGGACAATGGTTATGTTAGAAAAGAGATGATATGTTCTAAATTGTAGATAATTTCTACTTTTTCATATATAATAGGCTGTTTTACTTGCATAGCTTTCAAATGAAATTAAGCTTATTTAACATCTTTTGAAGTTTTATTCACATTTTAAACTTACATTTTGCACAACGATTTTTGGAGCAACCATTTATTCAGAGCAATATTCAAACTATGCTGCTGAGAATTTTGTATGGGAGTTACTTTTTGAATGCCAGAAATTGTGCATTCAAGCGTCGAACGAGATATAAAAGTGCGTCCAACGCCACTCCATTTATAATGTAATATCAGAGAAACGCATTTGCATTATTAGGGTGGACTCGGGATGGGGGCTCATTTTCCACTCGCGTTGCCAGCATATTAAATTTTACAACTCAATTTTAAATTATGTTTCCCAAAATAATTATATTGTAAAAACTGATGCTTTTGACGAGCAGCATGAGAATCTGCTTGTTTCATAAAAAGTAAAACATATTCCAACGAAATGCAAAAGGGGGACCGACAAGTAAGACACTGTCGTACGTTTTGATAATTCCGTGTCTTTTTATATATAAAATGCTTGCATGTTGGTGAATACGAAAGAGAGAGGAACTCTCAGGAGGAAAGGATTTCGTGCTGCCAGGCCAATCTATATCCGCCGCGTTGAAAGAGCTCAAAGAATTTTATTAGAAGAGAGAACGCAGCAGCAGCGGGCCTGCATGCCCAAATATCACGAGGGGTGATCCAGCTGCAAAAATAGGTAGGGGAGGAGATAAAATGGGGTAGTAAGATTACGTCATCCCGTCTGGGCCAAGTCTGCGCGATTTTTTGTCGCCGCCGCTACCCCTGTCGCTCGCTGCACACAATGAATGCACTTTTATCAGTCGCGCTGCACCCAGAGATCATTAACGATCAACCAATCGGTGCGTGGGCAATAATTTTTCGCCGTCTGGCTTTCTGTCTGGCATTCCAATTCCACATTCGACACACATCCGCGTGTTTGCTGAAAAGATCGGCGGGGCGCGAGAAACGCGATATTTATGTTACTCCGTCTGGCGCTGGATAAGAACTTATTCGGGGCTGCGCGACAAATTGACATTGAATGAATTATAGGCATATATGGAAATGATATTGCTTTGTTTAACATTTGAATGGGAATTTAGTATAAGTAATGGAAACCATATTTACATGCAATTTTTGCTTAGAAAATTGTATGAAAAGAAATTTCTGTAAATTCTAAATAATTTTTTAAAATTAGAAAACCAAAAGTAAACCAACAAGTGAATTCATGCTGGAACATTATTTCAAAAAGTTTTTTTAAGCATACTAAATCATTTAGAATAGATCATTTAATCTAAATAATTTCAATTCTTCAGGAATGGTTAAATCTAAAGAAAAAAATAGGTGAATGAAAATGATATAAATACCAGTATAGCAAGTTTTAAATTTAAAAAAGGATATTATATACTGCCTCAAATGATTATAAATTCACTCTGCATCATTTTACTGTGAAAAATTCATACGTTAATAGATATTAATAAAATTGAATTTCTCATTCGCAGTCAACATTTTGTGTCTGTCATTTTAAAAACAGCTAAGCTCCTCGTTTTCTGTCCACTTTGCCAGACGCATCATGCATGAGCACAGCCTGGAGTGAGAAATAAATTAATGGTGTCTGCAAACTTTTGAAATTGGGTTGCCTATTAAATTTTCCATTCTGTGCTGTGCCGTTTTATACCGACCCGGCGAGCACCTACGCGCATCTCTCACACACTATTTTAAGGGCGGTACACTTCGTCATAACACCTTCACCTAATTTATACAACTTTTTAACGGCGAGTCGTAAAATGCGCGCGGATGAATCTGCAGCCGGAATATTATTACACTTGTACATATACGAATTCGCTTCCAGCAACCCGAATCTTAATATACGTTTTGCTCTTTATCAGAAAACTTTGAGGGCGAAGTATTGCTGCCGGATACGCAAGAGTACAGAGAGTTGGATTTTCCAGCGCAGTCGGGAAAACAAATAATTACATGCGGAGAGAAACTTTTCGAATAAGCGCGCTCAAAGAGCGATGTGAATATTGCACCAGAGACGTTACATGGTTCTATGGTTGTAAGTGACCTGAAAGAGGATTTCATTTCTAACGACGACTTGCTGATAAACAGCATTACAGTCGGTCTGCAAAACAAAAGGCAAAATTGACTTGTATCTATAAATTCTCTAAAAGTAAAATCTCTATCACGAAGCTTTTCTAAAATAATTTTAACTTGAAAAATTTTGCCTATAAACAGGTAAATGCTTTATAATTTTAAATGGAAAATAGAACTGAAAATTTAAGAATTTATAAATAAAATTCAACTGAAAAAAAAATTAGCAGAAATTTGAGCCGTTTAAATCTGACACACAGTTTTAAAGGCTGTGAAAAAGCATGAAAATCTTCTTTAAATGTTAAAAAAAATCTTTTTATATCCAGAAGGAGCGATCAAAACTTATTCAAGATTAATTTTTTTCTTCAATAAATATTAAAAGTTTGAAGAATTCAAAGCAGATGATA